TCACTCTGAAACTAATTGAGCTGTACGTTTAAGATGTACGTATTTCACTGCTTGTGTGTTACAGGAAAACTTTGTTTAAAATGCATGGCCGGATTTGGCAGTATCTATTAAAATTACAAATGCCCAGACCTTTTCAGGAATTAATCCTTCAGATACTTCTCCATGTTATGAAATGATACAGGTCTCCTTTGGGTGACATTTAGATTATTTCCCAGTCTTTTTCCCAACTAAAGGGCAAGAGCTTGGTCTATGTCCCCAGCACCTTACAGAGCATCTGCACGTAGTAGAAAGTCAATAAATTTGTGCTGAGTTAGAGTAGGAACCAAACTTGATAGATAGTTTAAGATTATAGAGTTTTAATCTCCTCATGGGGTCAGAGGCTAAGGGTCTATGCTTGAGCAATTTATAGGAAGCTCACGAGGTGGGAAAATCCTGCTCACTGTTTGAAAATGCTCAGATAGAAGGCTTCTTTCCTCAGGCTCGAGCAGTAGAATTAGCCTGGAGAATCAGAACCTCTAATGAGCCTAGCCAATACCAAATATGATGTGGGTCTGAATTCTAGAATTACCTGCTCAGTGTATAAAGCTAGGGCTGAGAAACCAACCAAAAGAAATGGGTCTAGAATTGCCCTGTAAGTTTGCTTCTGCTACACAGGGCACACCTGCCCGCTGAGATGAGCACACAGACAAAAACGACAAAGCACTGGGGACATCCAGGATGCGCCCGAGAGAGGCACCAACTGCCACGATCCACAAGGACGTAATATGCAACCAACCTTATGTATGTGACGAGGTGTTCTGGAGCAGAGGAAGCCTGTGTGATTTGTGGTGCCTCAAGAGCAGGCCAACAGGGTGGTTACAAGGCAGCAGTTTGGATACACACACAGGAGGGGCTTTCTCATCCTCAGAGCCAGTAAGCGATGGAAGAGGCTGCCTGGAAGAAAATGAGCCTGCCAACAGCAATGAGGAACCACACAGAGGAACTTTCACAGAGCCTTGTGAAGCTTTGGACTGGGTAACCTCGGAGATCTGCTCCAACTTTAGGACCCTAGGATTCTAGAACCTCCAGAAGCTTCATTTCTTCATAACTACCCTCTCATCCCAACTAACCCACACACTGAGTAGGCAATGTAGATGGCCCAAAGTCCTTCTTCCTGCCTTTTCTTCCCAAGATTTGGAGTACAGAGCCAAGACATGTGTGCACCTTGGCTTACAATCCTGGAGTGTTAAAATTGGGGTCACTAGAACCCCGAAGTGCTAGAATCCAGGGGCAGAAGACTTGAGGCAAATATGACAAAATGTATACAATGCTTTGTTAATTGTTCTCTGTACTTTCCTGTATCTTTTATATCCCCCCTGCTTTTTTCCCCCTCCAATTAAAGACAGCAGAGCATGAGAAATCAGGAGCATCAAGGCTGAAAGGGAAACCATCTCGTCTAGACCCTCAGCTCAACTGAGGACACGGAGGCCCTGATGGGGACGGAGGGAGCTCAGGCCAGACTCTGGGATCCCACCCCCAAGGTTAGCGCTCTACCCAGCACACGGAAGCCAGCAAAGGAGAAAGCAACTGTGGTGAGGACTGCATGAGGGCAGCTGGGGCACCTGCAGCCTGGCCTGCGGTACGTCCACCCTCCTGGACTCTCTCCAGAAATTGCTCTGAGAACCCCAGTCCTCAAGGAACTTCATTAAGGTGCTAATAGTGCTCGGAAGGACTGTCAGGGAGGGCTCAGCCTCAGGCACCCCAGCCTTTGTGCTCCCAGGCCCCTAGACCCAGGCGGCCCTGATTTCCCTGAGCTGAGGGCCTGTTGCTGCCCTCAAAGACTACGATGCTCAAAGTCCCCTACCTACACCCCCACAGCAGAGCCAGGGAATCTTGGGCCTGGCTAGGAACAGAGTTGGAGAGGAGGGGCAGGATCCAGGGTAGAGAGTAAAGTGGCCAAAGACAGATAGAGGCAGTCTTAGGATATAGGGGAGCTGGGGCCAAGCTGGACATCGGGGTCTAGGTATCCCCAGTTTCTATCAAAGTTCTCAGGCGCCTGGGTGGCTCAGTTGGTTGGGCGACTGCCTTCAGCTCAGGTCATGATCCTGGAGTCCCGGAATCGAGTCCCGCATCGGGCTCCCTGCTCAGTGGGGAGTCTGCTTCTCCCTCTCCCGCTCCCCCCTCTCGTGCTCACTCTCTCTCTCTCTCAAATAAATAAATAAAATCTTTAAAAAAAAAAAAAGTTCTCAGATCAACAGTTGCCAAGAGTCCTGGAGCTCACAGTTTACTGGCAGCCAGAACTAGAGGCAGCTACTGAGCTGGGGCTATTTGGGGGAGATTTCCATGAGCAATGAGCTGCTGGGGCAAAGCCCAAAAGAGATATCAGAACTCTGGCCTCTCTTCTTCTAGCCCAAAATGCCACTGGGCGAGTATTAGAAAAAGCAAGGGCAGAGAGGGAGACAGAGAAGATGTGATTTGGGAGCCATCCCCAGCCAGAAATGGATCTGTCACCAATGCACCTCAGTGCCTGGAAGTCCTTCTTTGATAAAGATATTGAAGGACTCTGTTTAAATGCTACTTCAGTGGGAGGGGCACATGGATCCAGTTCAACATGCATCTGGCAGCTTCTCTTCTGTGTCCAGGATGGGAACACAATACTCATTGTCCAGGAAAGGAAAGACACCCAAAGGAGGTGTCAGAGTGAGGAGTTTGAAGGACAAGACCAAGTCTGACACCTAGACGGGCAAGGAGATGGGCATGACAACAAGGCCCCTTCCCTCACAGAGCAGCCGTCAATAAACAAGTAATGTTTTCCAAGGGAATTAAAGATGGCGGCACATGCTATGAAGGCACCACAGTAATGGGGTGGAGGGTTGGTGGGGGTACGTGATTCAGGTTGGTCAGGGAGGGTCTCTGAAGAGGAGACATTCAAGGTGAGACCTGAAGGACAGGAGGATGGAAAGGAGCCATGCAAAGAGCCAGAGGAAGAATATTCTGAGCAGAAGGAACAGTTAATACAAAAGCTGTGAGATGGAAAATAGCTTGGTGCATTTGAGGCCCTGTCACCATGCTGGGGCCGCTGGAGCGGGGACAGGGGGGGTTGTTTATTTTTTAATTTTTTTTTTTTTTTTAAGATTTTATTTATTTGACAGAGAGAAACACAGCGAGAGAGGGAACACAAGCAGGGCGAGTGGGAGCGGGAGAAGCAGGCTTCCCGCTGAGCAGGGAGCCTGATGCAGGGCTCAATCCTAGGGCCCTGGGATCATGACCTGAGCCAAAGGCAGACGCTTAACAACTGAGCCACCCAGGCGCCCCTGTGGGGGAGGGGGGGGGTTATAAGGTGAGGTGACATAGGTATGCAGGGGCTGGATCGCCGAGAGTCCTGTAGGACTTGGAAGGAACTCTGAACTTTCCAGCAAGTACAACGGGAAGCTGTCCGGACAGGACAGTAAGTGGTTGGAGGTTGAATGCCAATCGCCCTGGTGGCCATCTAGAGAATAGACTAGAAGCAGCAAGGAGGCCCTGGCCACCCAGGTGAGAGGAGGTCACCGAGGGCAGAGGAGAGGGGATGCAGAACAGGAGGCCAGACTCCAAGGCCGGGGCAGCCACATAGGGAGGGCAGGCCGGACAGAGCAGGTGGGACTAGACTGTGAAGGGCTTCAGAAGCCGGACTGGGGTTTGGCGCTTTCTCCTGCAGGAGTTGGGGAGCCATCAAAGGCATTTGTATTTTATGTTTCTCATCAAAGAGCTCTGAGCAAGAACATTTGACAGCATGGTCAGATTTATGTGTTCACAAGATCCCTGCGGCAGCTGGTGCGGAGGATGGACTGAAGGGGCGACACCGGTGGCAGGAAGACTGACTTAGGAGGCGGCTGCCATAACGGTCCAAACGCAAAGCGGTGAGGCCCTAAAGAGGGGCCTGGGGGGCCCCTGCTTGTCCAAGGCTTGTCCCCCTCCTGGGGCCCTAGGCAGCTGCAGAGGGCCCGAGTGGGCCCCGGCTCTGATGCTTGTGCAGAAAATAGGATGAGTGCTGCCAAAAGGCATCAGGGCTGTTTATCCGGAGGAGAGATGCCTCAGCGTGGATTTAGGGCTAAAAGGTTACTCGGGGTGGGCGGGGGAGGTGGAGGGAGACCAGCTGTCCCCCATCCTCACAAAGGACAAACAAAGGAGTGGCTTCAGCTGCAGCAAGAGGGAGGGAGGTGAGACATGTGAGGGGAAATGTCCTGACAGACATCAGAGGATGAAAGGACTCTTTAGTGATCACGCAAACCAACTCTTGCATTGAACAGCTAGGGAAACTGAGGCACAGAGGAAGAGACAGATCCTTATCCAAGGTCACATAGTGAATGAGAGCTATGACTAGACCCAGCAGCCCAAACTCTCCCTTTCAGAGACCCCTGGGGCCTCCCAGAGCACTCCCAAGAGGACCTCAGACTGCCCTAGAAGAATCTGGGAGGATCTGGAGTGTGGCTGCCCCAGAGAGAAGTGTCCATGTGTAGCCTCCTGGAGATAAAGGGCTGGACAGAAAGCCCTGTGCTGGACTGAAGTGGTCTGGGGCTCTGATTTGCTGCATCCCTGAGTTCAATCTCTGCCTCACTGTCTCAATAGCTCTCCGTCTCTGCCCACACTCCCCACCAGTCTCAGCGTTGCATTTGGTGGCAGTCTCTTGTAGCTCTCAAGGGTCTTGGTTCTTCTGTGTCACCCTGTCTTTCTCTGCCCTCTGAGACTCTGTTTCTTTGTCTTGGCCTCTGTCTCAGTCTCTCTAGAACTGAGCCAGACTGGGCCAACCTCCCACCCCCAGTGGGCCCTCACTGGTAGAGTGCCCCCATGTAGACAATGCTCGGGCCCAGTGCCCAGGCTGCAACAGGTGACAGCAGCTGTGGATCTAACTATAGCTCCCTTGCCCTTCAATTGTTCCCAACTTCAAACAAGGGCTGGGGCCTGGATTACAGGCACCCCCCACCAGCCTTGCTGAAATGGATCCCAGGGGGTAGGGGATGAGTGAGGCTCACGAGGACCACGTCGTGATTTCTTTTAAGTAGCTACCTGTCTGGACCTCCACGTTCCACCTGTAGCCCTGGGCTGTGAGGCTTTTCAGCTCAGATGCTGTGTGAGTAAAGGACCAGTGGATAAGGGAGAAGAGGGTGTGCAAACAGCAGACCTGTATGTGGGGATGTGGGTGTGCATGACAGGTGTGTTTCCCTCTTCCTGCTTTGGGTGACAGATACTTGTGAGCATGGGCTGCCAGTTCCAGAAGGGCAGAGACCTCATCTTTCTTACTCACTGCTGTATCCCAGCCAGAAATGGGCCATGGTGAGTGTTCAATGTCCATTTCTTACCTTGGCCTTTAGGAAGAGTGAGGGTGTGCTATGTACCGACAGGACTCAAGCGTGAGAGGCAGTATTGGGTAGTAATGAAGAATACCGTATTTAAAGTCAGACTGCCTGGGATTGAATCCTGGCTCTGACAATTACCAGCTATGAAATCTTGGGAAATGATTTAACCTTGTAACAATGGGAATTTGTAAAAACAAAACAACAACAAAAAAACCCTACTACACAGGATCCTGATGAACATTAACATCTGAAGTGCTTAGAATAGTGCATGCCACAGAGTAGAGACTCAATAAATTACTGTCATTTCCAAGATATCCCGTTAAGTGGAAAAAGTGAGGAGAAGAATGGATGGCATGTGCTATCGCTCATGTAAAAATGGGGGAAGAGGAGAGTCATATATTTTTGTGCCTACCTATGGAGGGACCACTTTTGCTGGCAAGAGTGGTTATCTCTGGAGAGTGGAAGAGGTAGCTGAGGGCTTGGGAAGGGAGGGAGACTGATTTTTTTTCCTTGTTTACCCTTTTATACCTTTGAATTCTGAATCACGAGTATATATTACCTATTTCTTAAGGATTTGCCAAATGAATAAGGGTCACTTCCAACAGGATCCTTGAAAAATCAAGCCCCTATTCTGTGCCAGTGGGGAGGGCCTGGGTAAGGGCCGGTCCTCGTTGCCCTTGGCCCTGGGTCTGAGTCTCTGGGACACCTTCTTTCCCCCAGCCCAATAGCAGGGAAGATGCATCCATGTGAAACCACCCGAGCTAAAAGTAGACCAGAGGGAGGCTTCCCAGTTTCTAGGGCAAGCAGCGGCAGAGGTGGAAGGGGCGGTGGGAAGAGGCTCCTGCCCTCTTCCCTGGCCCCAGCCCCCAGCTCTTTAGCCCAGGCTATTCTTAGAGGCCAGATAATGCCAGCAGTTGTTGCTGCTCCTATCAGCTTCCAGAACCACCAGCACTGAGAGGCCCAGTGCTGCCCCCACCCCCTGTGGGGTGTGCTGGCCTCCCTGCCAGGTGTGGGCATCCTGCCGCTCTACCCTGTGCCACATGCCGCGCATCTCCTGGCCACCACAGGTAAGGAAGGGCACTGGGGAGTAGGGTATCCTCCTAGGGGTCAACGTGCAGATACTCTGGCCCAAACCCAGGTTCCAAACTATGCTTAGACTATGAATGAAAGGGCTGAGGTCTATGGACACAGGCTAAACAGGACAGCTAGAGTGAGGGGAGGGCAGAAATGGTAGCGGGGAGGGGGCCTGGGAGGGCCAGTGTATGGAGGAGGGAAAAAGCCAAAAATAGGTCTGGGGAAGAGATGGCAGAAGAGGGTCTGATAGCCCTGGCTCTGGAATCCAACTGTCCAGGTCTGCTTTTACTTGCTATGTGTCTACTTGCTTTTCCTCGTGGAGCTTCCATTTCCATCGTAAAATGGGCATAACCTTATTTCATGTGGTTGTTATGCAGAGCCAACAACAGAATGTACATAAAGAGTTTAGCCTGTGACTGACATAGCCAAGCACATCTAGATGTCTGGTGATTTTATCATTAGCTCCATAAGAGCAGGAATGTTTCTCTTTCAGCTCTACGCTTGCAGGGACTAGACTGGCACACATTAGGACTGCCTCCTCAAGTCCTTGCTCTGCCATTCACAAGCTAAGTGACCCTGAGCAAGTTACTTAACCTCTCTGAGCTTTGGGTTCCTTTTCTGCCAAATGGATAGATGCAGAATACCTGCATTACAATGTTGCTGAGAGGAATCAATAAACCGAAGTGCTCAGCCCACGGTAAGAGGTCAACAACGTGAACATGGGAACACTGTGGCTATGGGTATGTTGGGGTGGTATGGTGGATAAGCCTTGGTCTGCCACCCTGGGGATGGAATTTGAAGCAGTGCCCAGGGCAGCCAGCACTCTGGGAGAGACATGCTAGTGGGACCACCATGTGGGAACAAAGTCCCAGGATCTCATAAGACCAGAGTCACACTAACCCCCAAATCCTGTGCCACCACCCAGGCCCTCCCTAGGATCTCAGGATCAGAATAGGCTTATCAAAGCCAGGGTCAGCTTCCCATTTAGTTGAGTACAACAAACACTCTCTGATGCCCCCCAGGTTGGGACTTGTTCTGGTCTTGCCCCTGAGACCTAGGAGTCTGTCTAGCAAAGGAGACAGGCATGAGGAGGCACAGACAGTTAGTAACAATCGGCACAGGGCATCCCAGGGGAGGGGCACTCAGCCCAACCTGGTGGAGTGGAGAACAAGGGAAGAACATCTGTCCTTCTCAAAAGACCAATTCGAGGTGGAGTGGGAGGGGAGGGTGGGGTGGGTGCGGCTCTACCCTTGCCCTCATAATCATGGTCAGTCAGCTCAGGAGGTGAAGGGCAGAGAGAGGCTCAAAGAGTTAAACTCAGAAACCAACCCAATGGATCTACCCTGGGTCTCCTGAGGTGTTTACAGTGACCCTGCACTCCTTCACATCTCAGAGTATACTGCCCACTTCTGTGGAACTAGACTTGGCTAACTTAAGGGCAAGAGGCCTCCCTGCACATAGCCCTCGGGATTTTTTATATGGGTTGAAAATGCTGTCATTACAAATAACTCCACTGTCCTGACAATGCTTTGGGCCTTAAATTTCATTTTTCAATTGAAATTCTTTTAGGTAATTACATATTCACAAGCAATTATAAGAAATAATAGATTGCCTGTATTGATATGGATACAATCCCCCAATCTTACTCAAGTTTTCCCAGTTTTATGTATAGTTGTGTGTGTGTGTGTGTGTGTATTAAGTCCTATACAGTTTTTTTTTAAAAGATTTTATTTATTTATTCATGAGAGAGAGAGAGGCAGAAGGAGAAGCAGACCTCCCGCAGAGCAGGGAGCCCAATGCGGGACTCGATCCCAGGACTCCGGGATCATGACCTGAGCCGAAGGCAGACGCTTAACCATCTGAGCCACCCAGGCGCCCAAGTCCTATACACTTTTATCACCTGTGTAGGTTCACAGATCCACCACCACAGTCAATATTCTGAACAATTCCAACAACAAAAAGGTGTTACCCTTCTATAACTACACTTTTCTCCTTCCCATCCTTAACCCTGACAACCTCCAATCCGTTCTTCATTTCTAAAATCATCAATTCAAAAATGTTATATAAATGAAATCATACAGTATGTAACTTCTTTAGATTGGCTTTTTTCACTCAGGATAATTCCCTGGAGATTAATCCAAAGTTGTTGCCTACATCGATAATTTGTTCCTTTTTGTTACTGAGTAGCATTCCATATTATGGATGTACCACAGTTTGTTAAACTTTCACCTGTTGAAGGATATCTACAGATACCTCAGTCTGACGTGCCATCTTATCACCTGTGTCCTAGGGGGGTGAGGCCACCCACATCCTCCAGATTCTTGTTCCATCTGTCTAGGGACTTCTTGAGACCTGAAAATGGGCAGATGTCACTCTGCATCCCCAGCAGCCAGCACAGGACTTGGCAGAGAAGAGGTGCCCACGCATGCCTGCCAAATGGACCGTGTCCACTGGGCGGGGAGGGCACCTGCCTCTCAAGAACCCATCTTCTCGGGCGCCTGGGTGGCTCAGTTGGTTGAGCGACTGCCTTCAGCTCGGGTCATGATCCTGGAGTCCCGGGATCGAGTCCCGCATCGGGCTCCCTGCTCGGCAGGGAGTCTGCTTCTCCCGCTGACCCTCCCCCCTCTCATGCTCTCTCTATCTCATTCTCTCTCAAATAAATGAATAAAATCTTAAAAAAAAAAAAAAAAAGAACCCATCTTCTCCAGGGGCCTCTCACTCTGCTCCCTGCTGCCCCCTTCTCACCATGACTCGTGTTTCTCACCCACCCAAGCCTCTGCTTGCTTTGCTCTCCTGGGTTTAGCTGAGCCAGGCTAACAATACAGTATAGTGCTTACAAGTTCTGAAGCCAGACTGTTGGAGTGAAAACCCTCAGTTACTCTGTCTCTTTGATGCCCTGTTTGTCATCTGTAAAGCAGGAATAATAAGAGCACCCACTCCACTGGAATTAAATGAGATAATACTCATAAAAAAAGGCACAAGGCCTCACACATTAATAAGTGTATAATATACAATCATTACTATTCTTTTTATTATCCTTGTCATCACCCCCAAACTCAGTAGAATAAACATGAGAAATACATACCACCAATATAAAGACAAGGAGAAGGTTCCCAAAAAAGGGTCATTCCTAAGAGTGTGGGACCCCATTCTCATTCTTACATAATTCCCTCCTGGCTTCTCTCTCTCCAGCTCCTTCCCTTCTTGGGGAAAGTTTAGGGAGATGGAAGGGCAAGACTATAGCCTCTTCCTGGAGAGAGGTTCCCATCACTGGTGTCAAGGTGACAAATGCCTTCCCCCCATATACAGAGTTGTCAATCTCACCCAATACTTCCTAGCTCCAGAGTCTCCCTACAAACAGCCAACACAGTGTAGGCCCTGCCACTATTCTAGCCACAAGCAGAGTCACAAGGGTCATTCCTCAAAGACCTGCATCCATTCTGCTTTCGTGCACCTGTCCGTGCAACCATGTAACTATTTACTGAGAAATAAACTTTGCTATTAATCCCGGAAACTCCAATGAAATATCATGTCTCGCCCACTAGACTGGTAAAAACAAAAAAGCCTGACAATACTGAGTCTTAATGAGGATGTAATTTTAATCCAACAATTCTAATATATTGCTGACAAGAGTGCAAATTTATAAAACCACTTAAAAGAGAGAGTTTGTATTATCTAGGAAATCTGAACATGCTCATGACCTTCAACACACTGCACAAGGAGGCGCATATTAGTTTACCATCTGTAATAGTAAAATACTAGAGACAACCCAACAGACCATTCACAGGAGAGAAGGTAAATGAAATGTGGCTTTTATACAGTGAACCGACAAAGCAGTGAAAACGAATGAACTAGTTACCCTTATCAACATGGATGACTCTTCCAACATAAGGCTGAATGAGAAAACAAGCTGCACAAGAATATATACAATGTTACCAGTTAAAGTCCAAAAACAGGAAAAATAGCATCAAGTATTCAGAAACACATACGTAGTAAAAGGTTTAAAAATGCATAGGAAGGACCTACCTCACACCATATACAAAAATTAAATAAAAATGAATCAAAGACTTACATGTAAGAGTGAAAACTATCAAACTCTAAGAAGACATAGGTATAAATTAAATCATTATTTCGGATTAGGCAATAGTTTCTTAGATATGACACCCAGAGCACAAGCAACCAAAGAAAAAACAGATGAACTGGACTTCCTCAAAAGTAAAAATATTTGTTTTTCAAAGGACACTATCAAGAAATCCAAAAGACAGGGGCACCTGGGTGGTTCAGTCGTTAAGCATCTGCCTTTGGCTCAGGTCATGATCCCAGGGTCCTGGGATCGAGCCCCGCATCGGGCTCTCTGCTCCGCAGGAAGCCTGCTTCTCCCTCTCCCACTCCCCCTGCTTGTGTTCCCTCTCTCGCTGTGTCTCTCTCTGTCAAATAAATAAAATCTTTAAAAAAAGAAATCCAAGGGCGCCTGGGTGGGTCAGTTGTTTGGGCAACTGCCTTCGGCTCAGGTCATGATCCTGGAGTCCCAGGATCGAGTCCCGCATCGGGCTCCCTGCTCAGCAGGGAGTCTGCTTCTCCCTCTGACCCTCCTCCCTCTCATGCTGTCTGTCTCTCATTCTCTCTCTCTCAAATAAATAAATAAAAAATCTTAAAAAAAAAAAAAATCCAAAAGACAACCCACAGAATGGGAGAAGCTAGTCAAATCATGTACCTGATAAGGGTCTAATGTCCAGAATATATAAAGAACTCTTACAACTCAACAATAAAAAGACAATCTAATTTTAAAATGGACCCTCTCTTTTATGAAGTGAAAGAGAAACTGAGTCAAAAAAGGAGTCTGGGAGTAGAATGGTGGTTGCCAAGGGCTGGCTGGGAGTGGAGAATGGGGAATTATTGTTTAATGGGTACAGTTTC